ATAGAGGAAGCTGACAGCATCTTTGCTGAACATTCACCTTGGCATCCTGTCACCACCCACAAGGGATAAGAAGAGAGTGTGATGGTGGGAATTTTATTTCACACAAAACTTCCAGTCAGCTTCAAATTGATGTGCTGAGGCCAAGTGAGAATAATACCCCTAGCAATAAAGCAGATGACAATTTGGGAAAAGCACCAAACAAAAGCACTTAGATTGGAAACAGTCAGCATCTCCAAAACCAATATTTCCCCCCAAACCATCAAAAATGGGGCTACCTTGCCTAATACACCATATTTATTGCACGTTGTTGGACGATGTCTTTTGTTCATCAAGGGGTGACAGTTGATTAAGGACCTTTCTTTGGAAAGGAGAAAGTAACTCCTTTCCTCATCTTCCATCTGCCATGTGGATATTTAGGGAGACCTGACAAACTTTAAGAAGCACAATTGAAGCAAGTATATATAGGTTGAATTAAGGTATGACAGGGCAATTCATTATGTTGTGTACCAGTTACTGCTACTCCTGTGCCCTAGTAGCTCAGGAAAGCTGGCTAGTGGCTGCTGTATTTTCACGTTTTCTAGCTGGAGATGCATGGTCCTCTTGCTCTCAAAGGTACAGCCATTGGACTATACGCCACCCACAGATTTTGCCTCATTCAAGATGCAATCTAAAATGCACATATTAATCTTCCTGAAAGGGGGGTTATCTTTTTGTTAAAGTGCATCTTTAATATGAAGGTGATATTATAGTGACTCATGTATCTTTCCCTTGTATTGATTTGAACCTAACGTTTCCTGAGTACTCATTTGGGAGAAAAGCTTTCAATGCACCCTGCCCTGAAGCAGGGCTATAACTATATAAATGCATACAGAAAGGGATATGAGATGTGTTCAGCTTTGAAATTGTAAGGTGATTTTAAATTAGAGAAAATAGCATTTCAAGGTTTTTTTAAGTTTCAAGAATTAAGGAATTTCAAATAACAAAAACAAAGCTTATTATAAATAGATTTGGGGAGGAATGGCTGAAGAATAAGAATACCTCCCCAAAGGGTAGATGAAGGTTGTCCTGCTAGAGGTCGGGTCACATTGGAGAAAGAAGCTCAGAGGATCCCAGGAGAAGACCAAGTGCCTTTCTAGGGGGCCCTGTTCATCAGGAGGTATGGTGACTGCCTTCCCTGCAGAGGATGCCTCATCAAAAGCAGCCATAGAGACTCCATATACAGCCCAAGAGTTTATACAATCCCATTGGTCCTACACTTTATTGGCGTTACACTTTCAACATTTCAAGAGAATCTTCAGCCCGCTCCCCCCGCCCCCATGACCAAGCGTGGTCCTTGTGCATGTAAGAGTGGTAAGGATGTAGAATGGAAAGCAGTCAGCACCTATTCTTGTGTGTGGCTGAAAGGAACCACATGGAGACCTCCTCTTGAGCATGCCTGGAGGTGAAACATTCCCCTTTATTACAGCTGTCAGTTAATGATACAGCTCTGGCATCAGGTAGGGTACTCACATTGGTTCTGTATGATTCTGACCCCGTTGTCAAAACCTAGTCTCCCAACAGGACTGTGCCTTGCTCCCTGGTGACTGTGTTCTCCATTTGCACAAACTGCTATTTGCTCAGGAAGCCTGTCTTGGTCTTGCCCTTGTCCTCCAAGATTAGCATTTGACTCTAAACTCCAATATCAAGCCTGTTCCCTGGAAATCAATGACAGATTTCTTTTTGTCCATTGGAGTGCCTTGTATTCCCTATTTCTATTCTTCTGCCCTTAGAACACTGCACTGACTCATGCTGTGTGCACATTCCCAAGGCCAGCTCCTTGCCTGAACCATTCCATAAGTACCACTGCCCCTCCTCCTATTGTGTAACCATCCCAGGAGTGTATGTTTAGCTCAAGCCTTGGAGAAGCAGCCTGTCCTGGACAGAGTATAGATTTGGAGTAAGGTTCAAATTCTGGTCTGGCACTTACAAGTGATGTGACATTGGGCAAGGCATAAACCCTTCTTTAACCTCAGCTTCATCATCTGTAGAGTGGGAATTATCTTCATTACCACCACAGGAAACACATGTAAAATACAGCTTCTGGCATAAAGTAAAGGATATAAATGGTAGACCTTACCTACTCCCTCCATAGTCTGTGTTTTTGTTTCAGCTCTACTATGTGACAGATCAGAAACTTTGTTTCTTTTAGAGAGTGAGTGTGCCTAAAAGCAAGCTGGGAAAATTCCAGGAGTGGCCCAGACACTGTGAACAGCAAGGTAGAAACTCTTTCTTTCCTTCCTGTCTTATGCTTTTTCTCAGGAATGAGAGTATAGCCCAGGGGGATAGGCTGGCAAGTTATAGAACTGGAGGGTCATACAAAACCGGTGCCACCACTCCTATTCAACATAGTACTAGAAGTCCTAGGCAGAGTAATCAAGAAAGAGAAAGAAATAAAGAGCATCCAGATCAGAAGAGAGGAAGTCAAACTCTCTCTCTTCACATACTATAAGATATAATACCTAGAAAAAGCCCATAGTCTCTGCCAAAAGGTTCCTGGATCTATTAAACAACTTCAACAAAGGTTTATGATACAGAATCAATGTAAACAAATCAGTAGCATTTCTGTAAACCACTAACATCAAAGCTGAGACCCAAAACAAGAATGCAATCTCATTAACAATAGCCACAAAAAGAATAAAATACCTAGGAATACAGCTAACAAAAAATCTCTCTACAATGAGAATTACAAAACACTGCTGAAAGAAATCAAAGACCACACAAACAAATGGAAAAATATTCCACATTCATGGACAGGAAGAATAACAAGCAATGGGGAAAACACTTCCTGTTCAATAAATGGTTGTGGGATAACTGGCTAGCCATATGCAGAAGATTGAAACTGGCTCCTCACCTGTCACTGTATATAAAAATCAACTCAAGATGGATCAAAGACTTAAATGTAAAATCTAAAACCATAAAAACCCTAGAAGAAAACCTAGGAAATCCATTCTGGACATTAACCAGGACAAAGACTTCGTGATGAAAACACCAAAAGGAATCACAAAAAACCCAAAAATTGTTAAATGGGACATAATTAAACTAAAGAACTTCTGCACAACAAAGAAACTATCAGCAGCATAAACAGATAACCCATAAAATGGGAGAAAATATTTGCAAACTATGTATCTGACAAAGATCTAATATCCAGAATCCATAAGAAACTTGTCAACAAGAAAAAACAGCCCCCGTTAAAAAATGGGCAAAGGAGATAAGAATGGACAATTCTCAAAATAAAACATACACACAGCTAATAGGCATATGAAAAAATGCTCAATATCACTAATCATTAGAGGAATGCAAATCAAAAACACAATGAGATATTATCTCACATCAGTCAGAATGGCTATTATTAAAAAGCCAAAAAATAACAGATGCTTGCAAGGTTGTAGAAAAAAGGGACACTTATACACTGCTGGCAGGAATGTAAATTAGTTCAGTCACTGTGGAAAGCAGTCTGGATATTTCTCAAAGAACTTAACATAGGACTACCATTCAATCTAGCAATCCTTACTGGGTATATACTCAAAGGAATATAAATTGTTCTACCGTAAAGACACATGCATGCATGTTCATTGTGGCACTATTCACAATAGCAAAGACATGGAATAAATCTATATGCCTATCAGTCGTGGACTGGGTAAAGAAAATGTGGTATGTACATACCATGTAATGCTACACAGCCATAAAAACTACAACAATCATGGCCTTTGCAGCAACATGGATGGAGCTGGAGGCCATTATCATAAGCAAATTAATGCAGGAACAGAAAACCAAATACAGGCATTGATCGACTTACGACCTATGCAACTTACGACCATTCGACTTTACGACCACAATCGCTAGCCACGGCTGCTCTGCTATAGATTTTTGGAAACACTACGACATTTTGATGTGTATCAAGAATATCACTACCGCCTGGGAGGCTGTGACTACAAAGTGCATGAATGGCATCTGGAAAAATTGTGTTAAGTGCTATGTTAATGATTTTGACAGATTTGACAGTGAACATGAACTTGAAACGATTTGGAAAAAAATAGTAAGACTTGCTAAAGACCTTTCTTTGGAATGTGACATGGAAGATGTCGAAGAATTGCTAGACAAAGAATCCAGAGAACTACAAACGAAGAGCTAATCGAACTGGAAGAAGAAAGAGTGGCGGAAGAAGAAAGAAGAGAAGCAGAGAAAGAAGAGGAGGAGCCAGAAAGAAAGTTCACCACTAAGGGATTATCAGACGGTTTATCTTTACTGAATAAACTTCTTATACATTTCGAAGCAATGGACCCAAACATCAAATGATTCGCAAGGATTGAACGGATGGCGTGCGATGTGTTTCATCCCTATCGTGAAATTTATGAAGAAAAAAAGAAACATACAATTCAGACAAAGCTCACCATGTTTATGAAAAAACCAACTCCGGTAACCCCAACTGCTGCGTCAGATGATGACATCAACAATCCACAGCCAAGCACCAGCGGCCAATAAAATGTTTCATACATGTTTATATATTTTGATATGTTTTGCAATTGGGAAAATGTTTCCTATGGTATTTTTTACACCTGTATTTTGTATTTTTGTATGCACCTGTATTTTGTAATTTTGTATGTTTTGCAAATATTAAACCAGTTGTACTGGTAATGCAGTGTTTCACTTAAACCTGACAAATGTAAAAATAAGAAACAAAATGGTGTAGAGATGATACAAATGGCATAAAATGAACAAAGAAAATTATGATATATAACAATAATGAAAGAAAATTAAGATAAAATATGACTTAAAGATTTTTATAGCATCATTTCACAGTACTGTACATATAGCCTACTCAACTTATGACCAAATCATGTTACAACTGGTCTGTCAGAACCAATCATGGTCGTAAGTCGAGCACTAGCTGTGCTGCATTTATAAGTGGGAGCTAAACATTGAGTACAGGTATTGATCGATTTATGACCTATGCAACTTACGACCATTCGACTTTACGACCACAATCGCTAGCCACGACTGCTCCGCGTCTGGCAGCGCAAACTTTGCCCAGCTGGGCGTATGACAGTGCGGACCAGCTTCCAGCAGCACTACCATCTCCGCATGCACCATTTCAACTGTACATATAGCCTACTCAACTTAACGACCAAATCGTGTTACGATCGGTCTGCTGGTCCCAATCGTGGTCGTAAGTCGAGCACTAGCTGTACACATGGACACAAAGAAAGGAACAATAAACATTGGGGCTTATTTGAGAGTGGAGGGTGGGAGGATGGTGAGGATTGAAAACTATCTATTGGTTGTTATGTTGATTACCTGAGTGACAAAATTACCTGTATATTTTGTCAAATGTGCAAACCCCCATGACATGCAATTTACCCATGTAACAATCCTGCACACAGTACCCGTTGAACCTAAAATAGAAGTTGGAGAAAAAAACAAACAAACAGTGCTGAAGGAGGAGCATCAAAGGGCAAGCTGGAAAAGCTAAACCTCTCAGCAGATTTGTAGGGGGAGGTATGGAAACAGCACCTAGGGCACAGCCTGAGGTCCATGTGGATGGACAGGAGGCCAGCGGAGGTCTGGTAGTAGAAATGGTTATGAACCTCAGCCACGGCGAAAACCAGTTTGCACAGGGGTCTCCTCGTGAATGAACCTGGCTGAATGTTTTAATGAAGTGGGTGTTAGGAAGAAAATTTCCCCCAAATCAATTCATCCCTGCCTGTCAGTAAACCCAGGTATGGGTAAAATAAAATAGAGTCTAACTTTGGTTCCACTCTTACCAAGAGCTCAAAGTTTCTGAGTGAGCAGCAAAGACATTTCCCCTGGTATTTTACATTAACACTCTAGCTATGGCTGGAAGCAGGCAGTTATCAGGAATAAATATGCTAAAAGGACAGAAAACCTCTTGCAAGACACATTACTGTCCTGCCTTCCATAAGGATGATGATGTCATAAATCTAGCCCCCATCTAGTGTTTATCAGAATTAATGCTTCGAATTTTATTCCAGTCATTTAAATATTTAACATGAAGAAACCAGGCATGAACAAATAATGAACGAATAATAAATATGCAAAGGCCCTTCAGAATATCAGTAGCAGAGTGATGTATAGTGTCCTTCTCGAGCCCAGGAGTTCGAGACCTGCCTGAGCAATATAGTGAGACCCCATTCTCCACAAAAAGGAAAAAAACAAAAAGAGAACAACAACAACAACAAAAAATACTGAAACATGATTGAAATTTAGTGTTTGCAGCTAAGATATGCAGACAAGTTCAAACTCAAGTTGGATGAAGTAAAAAAAAAAAAAAAGAAGAAAGAAAAACACCCACTGGGTGAGGCCACAAAAGTATAAACTCATTGGGTCAAAAATCAGTATTTTTGGTTTATATGCCAAGTGAGACCTGTCTGTATTAAATACACTATCTTACAAACTTTGGGGTTTCTCATTTAAGCCAGAAAGCTTGGATAATGTTTCAGCCCTTTCAGATACTAATGCCTTGTTCCCTTGAGTAGGTGGCTTCACATTCTTGAGGCTTCTTTTCTTCATTATTTGGAGCACACACAAAAACCTCACCACCCATGCTCTACTATGGCAATTTCTTGAAACAGAGATGAGCTTCTCAGATTGCCACCTCTAAGTGTCTACTGCTGATTTTGTCACAGAGAGCGTGCTCAGGAGTTGTCTGTTAAATGTTTGAGTTAGTGAATGAATGAATGAGAATATGAGATAATTAATAAGAAAGTGCTTTGAACTTGTTACATTTTAAAAACACCACTACTTTTATATTTCTGCCTTTCTTTCTTTATTCCATTCAGTATGCTCTTAAGTATCTTCAAAGCTCTAAAGACTTCTAACAAAGGAGGTCAAACTTTGTAGTATGCAAAGGTGATAATCAATTCGGCCAATTCTGAAGATGACAGTTTCTAAAATTCAAAATAAAAATATAGTATCTTAGTGAAAGGAAACAATCAATGCAAAAGATTTTTATTTACTATTACTGTCTCACTCTGTTCATATAGATTCAATGTTCACTAACAGGTCGTATGTTCTGAACACTTCAGAATTTTATTGAAGAATTTAATAAGTTAATTCATACCTTTACACATGTGATGCACTTTAGACATATATGAATACATTCAGTTGTTTATTTCATCAATTTAAAGTAATACACATGCACACGCATGCATACACACACGCGCGCATACACACACATACACAGTAGAGGACACTGCTCCTAGTTAGAGATCAGTCTTATTTCAGAGAGGCTGTACGTGATTTCTGGAATTAGCGACTAGATTTAAAATGTTCTTCTAAGGAATACAATATACGGTGAAAGAGATGGCAGCAGAAGGGCGGAGATTCTAGGTTTCCTTGGTAGGGAATGATGATGAATAGAAATGTAGATCTACCATTTTCTGTAGATGTAGAAACTTGTATTTTCTGCTCTTGTGATTTTATGCAATGCTAAACTTTTACCTAGAATAAAATGATAAAACCCATCTCTTCTCAGTGAAGTGAACCCTAATAGATTTTATGAGACATATGAACCTCCTGGCTTGGAGGCTGCCAGGTGTTTGGCTCCATGCTGCTAACCTTAGATAAATAGGCAGTAATAAGCAAGAACCTTGCGGCCAACTCTGAGAGGGGCTCAATTATAGTTGTCAAGGAGACAATCTGCTTGTCATGATCCAAGAATCCTGGCTGGGAGAGGAAACCGTAATGATTTTGTACACAGCTTAGCTCCAGCCATCTTCAATGATGGCAATGTCATCAGTGTGAGTGCCCATAAAAAGAAGAAAGAAACCATTTCACTAATGCTGTTGAAAATTAAAATGACAAATGCAACCCTTGTTGAATAAGCATTTTGGCTTTTCTTCTAATCTCTATGTCCTCTTAAGATAAAGTCTAGAACCTCCACTATAATAAGCAGGTACTAATTTTTAGTGCTTACAATATCATATCTGATCCTCTCAGTCACCCTATGAGATACACCTAGTAGTGAATAATGGGCATTACTTTTGGCTATCCTATGTGTGAGCTCCCCTTCTGTGTTAGTTATCTATAAATCTTGATGGTGGATTTTTCAGCTTCTCTTGAATGTTAAAGCAGGTATAATACTTGAGTTCTGCCATCAGATAACCTGGGCTGGATTTTGACTTAGGTTAAAGCAGAGCTCCCTTTTCTCTGGAGGTGGTGGCCATCGTAATTGTCATAAAATGAAATTCCCAGCACAGAACTAGCAATGATGCAACCCTTAGTGTCTAATGCTTAGTGACTTTGACTTTTTTTATGATACCATTTTTGTAGCCTGGTATAATCATATAATGATTCAAGCCTGATCCTCCACTTCTCCTAAGTTCACTGGAGGATATTGATACTCTCTTATTAAGTTCATTTACTACTTTAATCAAAGCCAGCACCATCTGACTTCAAAATCTGTGCTCTTCTATCTATTGTATGGGGCCAGGAAAGAGGGGCAAAGCTGTGATGGAAGGCAAGCTAGTGTAATTCAGCAAGGACATCTCCTATTGTTTCTCCACACTGACCAGACATTCTGGTCAAAGGACAAGAGAGTTGGGTCCAGTGATCTATGCCACAGACTGCCCAGGGGATAACAGAAGTCACATTCTATTTCAGGTTTTCCAGGGTCATTTATTTAGCTGAAGTATGGTAAGTAGTCCTAGAGTTCTGACACCACAGGAAAGTAATTTGAACTTCTCAGAGAAATTTTGCTCAGCAAATATGCAGTATAGTTTTAGGGTTTTTAACTTTCATGTGTGCTGACATTTCATGACAAATAGCGTGTATTTAATAAACAAAGTCAAGACTCTCAGGGTTGGAATGTTTTTAAAAGCTAGCTGGTCCACCTGTCTGACCAATGATTGAGCTCCTGACCAATGAGCCTCCACACCTGGCACTTTCTATGCAGGACGATATTACTTCCTAGCCCTTTGATCTATCTTTGAATGTTTCTGATTATCACAAAATTTTCCTCTAAGTAAATCAATATAGGTCTCTAGGTGATTCCTTCTCTTTGGTTCCTGACCTGGTACCTAATATAAAATAGAATGATTTATAGCACCCTCACTTCTGCCCCAACCCACCTCTAATTTCTGCAGCAGCTGTGGTCGACAGCCATAAGCCTTTTCATCTCTTTGCTTCTCAGCCCCTGAATTTTCTCTGACACTGTGGAAATTCAGGTGGAAGGCAGCCTGCAAGTGGGGGTGAATTATCACACATAGGGGTAATCCTGAACCCATGAGATTCAGAAATTGAAGTGTTAATATCCAGCATCTCTGCCTCTGGAGGGAAAATTCTGAAGTACAGTCTACATAGCTCCTCAAAAAGTCTCCAGCGTGACTGGCCTCAGTTGTCCACAGTAGTAACAGTTTTCCACGATCTTTTTTTCCTGTCCCTATCTCACTTTCCCCATTTCTTAATTCTTGCTTTCTGACATCACCTCCCAAATAACATACCCGCATTCTAATATTTGCCTTAGGCTCTCCTTTGGGGGGAACCAAAACTAAGGCAGAGTCTATTACTGAAATATCTGGTTCAAGTTAATTTAAAAAATGGTATTGGAACCAATATCCTACTGTACACCCATCACTGCATTTGGCTATTTCACATGAAGACTACAGAAATAATTTGGGCTTTAGAGACAAATGGGCTTGTGTTTAAATCCCAGTTGTACCTCTCACTATTTTTATGGTCAATATCTTTAACTTCTTGAAGCTTCAGTGTCCTTGTGTGTAAAATGGAATATTAAGACCTAACTCAGAGGCTTGTTGTGAGAACATAGCAGACATAAAGGATCTAGAGCAGTACTGTCCCATAGACATGGCTCCTTTGCTTACATTATTTAATCTTTGCAACTCTGCAAAGTACATATTCCCCATTTTACAGCTGAGTAAACTGAGGCCTGAGGAGATTAAGGAACTGAACTCTCTTCCTTGGTCACACCCTTCAGCTATACTGCTCTCTTTACTATCCTCAAACATACCAGCTATAGTCCTGCCTTGAAGGCTTCCTTTGTTTCTAACATGTAACTCTCTTCTCCCAGTTACCTGCTTGACTAGCTCCCTCACCTCCTT